TCTTCAGTGCTCATCAGAAAGGTTCGCTGTCCAGTGCGACGTGACCGGCATGCCTGTGAACGCATCTAAAACGAAAAGCCTAGTGCTTTCTCGTTCTCCTGGCAGCTGTTCTCTTCAGATTAACTAATAGGCAGTGTAACAGGTAAAGAATTTCAAGTACCTCTGAGTCGTGTTTACTGTCTGCCTCCGTGACCGGAAAAATGAAGATGGATAAGTGGAAAATTATGAAATATTTTGCCAGCTTTGTTAAGTGCTACCTCCATCTCATAGTGTTGGTATGGTTTTTCAGAATGCAAGCGTTTTGTATTTATAGCTTGGAGCTATGGTCAGCATCAATGTTACTCCAGAGCTTGAGTAACTTTTGGTTCGCTGCAGCGAGTAACGATCAGCTCGTCTTAGCTTCATTTGTCACTCGTCCGCTTGTAGACAGTATACTCCCGAAATAGACACATTGTTATGCATTTTCTCCTGCCCCCTGTGTACGCTCAGACGTACATTAGTCTGGGTTCTACCTCTTCCCGTCGAACTTAAACCTGAATAGTGTTTGTATTCGACCCGTTCATTGAATTATATGGAACGCATATCTCCAATTTTACCAAAGCTCCATTTCTGTATGCGTTATGTTCTGAGAAGTTCGGTATCATATTGCCTACGGATATCCATTAACTGCGGAACCTCCTGGAAAAAAAGTACGAATCTGAGGGAACTGAGAGATGCCGATTTAGGTTTAATAAGCTATAAAAAGACGTTGATTTATGTTAACCTTTCTCAGAGCAATATCTATGAACATACAATAAAGTAATGCATAGCAATGCATAAACAATTATGTATATGAACAGCGAGGAATGAGAAGATGACTGTGTATTGTTGTCAACGTGAAATAAGCATTTTTGTGATGATCAGTTGTTGTGAAATTGATCGTGTGGCTACATGGACTACATGGAAGCAATCGTGTCTGTGAAGAAAGTAACCGTGATGCCATCGTTTCCTGAGTTGAGCTTCGAACTTTTCAGCCATCTGATATAGCAATAGCGTTACAGCGCTGAGAAAATTTTATAGCAAAAATTTTATTTTCACTACTGATCACCTGCAGATATCACTCGTGGTCATAATTTCATTTCCTCAAAAACATCGATCCACACTTTCACACACTTTCACCATGAATCCCTTTAGTGGTGAGTCACTAAAGTAAGAAGTAATCTTCGGAGATCAAAGAAGCCGTGGCCTGCATAGATGGTCCCCCTAGGAGCCAGAGTCAGCGCAGTACGCCGTGAAATCTGGCCTTGGATGAGTCACCGGTTATCTGAGACAAATGGAGGGATAATAAAGAGCATGATGCAGGCAAAAGCAAAGCATTTAGTGACCAGTGCAGCCTGAAGTATTTAAATGGCTGCCCTAAACGGACATCACAAGGATGTGACGAGCATCGAACGAAAGTGGTCTTGATGATTTAGAATTTCAAGTAACCAAGTCAACGCAAAATTGACACTTAGAAAAACAGTTTGATGGAGAACGCTAAGAAGGCCATTGTTTGGCACGTCATTGTGGCAGATCGACTATGAGTAATTAGGTTCATTGCGTGAGCGTTTTTCTGAACAAAATACCACCATCACCTGTGCTCAAGCTGTCGTCAGCCATGTAACAGCCAAGATAACACTGTGTCATTTCATACACGGTTTTACTGGAAAAAGTAGATGAGAGTCTGTAAGCGTTGGACGTTGGCCTTCCTTGCACGTTCACAATTAGGCCCTTTCTGGTGCCCATCTTTTCGTGAGGTTAATGGGGAAGGGTGCTGATCTTTGTTATGACATTAGTCAAGAGTGCCCTACCTTAAAGTCAGAGTCTACATGCAATGCGGCAGACATGATGGGTAGTCTCCTGTTTCCTTCGTAAAGAGCGGTACTAATTTATGTACATTAAAAGAGCTGAGTTGATCTACATCAACCGTAGCTGGAATCCGGAGTCTCTCGGTTATGAGTTCGACACTCCATCGACTGAACTACCCTGTTCTCTATTATCATTACTGACAGTATCTTGGTGAATTAATGCTGATCTTTGTTCAACCCTTATTACTGCAAAGAACTTGCGAGTAGGCGAGAAAGGTTAGTTCATTAGGGATCTTCTTTAATCGTTTAATTATTTTATTATCTAATGCCTCCGTGTTTTTGAGATAGAGCGCCGTACTCTTTTTCCTAATTCTTTATTAAATTGCCAATTACAATCCATCGCTTATTAAGTGAATACACATCATAGTATATGTTTTAGGACAAGAAGAATATTTAAATAATTTTTATTGCATTCTTCCATTTTGACTTAGAATGACAGGCTTAAGCCATTTCTTTGATATAGTACCTGTTATATTTCCTGCTGCCTATTCGGATCAGTAGTTACTTTGAATCTCTTAATTCTATTGAGAAAACCAGCCAGTC